AGTATAGAGGGAGAAATTAAAAGGAAGCGATCAGACCAACAAGCCCAAAACTCTGCCAAGATACCGAGCTGAGCAAACCTCCAACCAATCCAAAGCAGGCACGGGATCAGTTTGAGCTAATACAGAGCTGTAACATCCACACCAGATGTTGTAGATGATGAGACATTCCTGAGAGAAAAGGCCTGGCTGGCGAGGAGGATTTGGAAAGGAGGATTTGGAAAGGGATAAGTAATTTGTAAACAAGTTTATGGTCTTGTGCTCTGTGAAGAATACAAAAGAGGAGAAACGGGGCCGGACAGTTCATGCAACAGAGAGGGGACATAATCCGCTGTTTTGGCAGAGAGAACAAAGTAGGAAGCGCATCCACCATTAGTGAGGGATTAGTTTGGAAGACCAACACCTGCCCCCCCCGTGTTCAACTTTAAACAGCACCTACAGGTCTTTCTTCTAGAGGAGCCTGAGTTAAGGGGTCAGTTTGCCTCGTATCTAGTGTTTGTCAGATTGTTCTCACACCTTTCCCAACATCAGAATTGGCGTCTGCATCCACTTCAGCAATCCACCAGGTGTGTGGAGGTTTGAAAAAAAACTCAAGACTTCACAGTTTCACTCACAAGCTCCCTTATATTATTTTTTAAGTGTGGCCGTTCAGAACAGGGTTAAATACGTTTGCCTTCAGATGTGGTCAGACTACATGTGGTGTACTGGTAGTTAGTGTCAAACATACGCTAGTCTTTAGGGCCTCAACCCTGGGTTTGCCTAACAGTGATCTCAAGGAGGAGGCCAGGGACAAACATTAATAATATTCAGCAGATAATAGAATACATTAGACGTCGATGTGGCAGACCTTCCAACATAGGCATGGTGGGAATGCTGCACTGAAGCTATTGTCATTTAGCAAGTTAAACACAGTGGTGGGAAACATAAAAACAGTGAAAGATTAAATTAAAATATAAGACAGGTGCAATAATAATCCACTACCAATACAGATTTCCTTTTACCTGGTCTCACTTAGCTCAACAAACACATACGTTATATATAATTTACATATAAAGTGCCATACAGTATGTACAACAGCAAAGGAAACTTCACTAGAAATAAAACTGAGGATTTCTTCTTATCTTTAAAATCAACAGAGAACAGAGCGTTGGCACAGCGGAGACACGTGTTTAGACTGCCTACCTCGTACTTGAACGTTGCATCAAGGAGGAATTCCTGCAGCATCCTCTCTCCCAGTTCTTTGCTGGCCTCGTCGCTCACAAAATGAAGGACCAACACCTCTCCTTCCAGGAAGCGTCCGTGCTGAACCATAGACAACATGGCCACCCTGAACTTGTCCTGCAGGCTCCGGCTCTTGTCCACCTTGGTGAACATCATGAGCGCGTGGTAGCGATGGTCACCGGCATCACCGTTCCCCGTGGTGGACCTCAATCCCTCGCTCTCTCCGCCTACATCCAGCTCTTCCCCTCCTCGCTCCTCAGATCCAGCTGGGTGCGAGAGCGCGGTGTCCACAGTTAGGTCGGCATCGTTTCTGTTGGTGTTGTGGCTGGCCTGGGTCTGCTTGATCCTCTTCGTGGTGCTGGAGAAGTTCTGCCTCTCCGAGCCAAAGTAGTAAAAAGCCACCACAGCAAGCGCAGCAGCCAGGAGAAGCACAAACTGATAGGACCTGAAAGTACTGATCCTACCCATGATTCTGGCTACCAGTCTTAGGATGCCCATATCTCCTTGTTGGCGTCATGAGAATGGAGGTGTGCACGGGAAAACATCCACCATTTCGTGTCCTTCTAGTTCATAGTTATGTTTCATATTGTTGCCAACATTTACCTGCAAGAAAAGAACATCAGAGACCAATGCAAAAGTCATTACCTGCGTTTATTCAGTCAATACATTTGAGCAAAAAAAGATTTAGTGTTTAAAACATTCGGTGTACTTCTTTTTAAAATTTAAAATTTAAAACAGCTTTTTATTCTCCCGATAACCAATGCTTTTACTTTGACATCCACAGTCTCTTTGAAGCTTGTTTACAATCCAAAAGTCACTTTAATTACTTCATAAGCTGTTGAATATCTTAACTTTACTAACAAGCAGCCAATTAAACCAGTCTAATTTTAAATGTGTGTAATAAAACACTCACCTCTCTTTTCTTACATGTATTTGCAACATTTTACTATTATACCATTCCACTTATTGAAAATATCTTCTCCTTGATTAAGCAATTAAAGAATGTAAATAAGGTATTTTTACACATGTGCTCCTTTAATGATCATTTTTGCATGTGGAGAAGAAGATGTGTAGAACAGGTCATCACTTCCTTACAATGCTGTTTAATCAAAAACACTGCAGCTTCTGTGATTTGGATATTGTATTATATTCTTGTAATACTCAACATATTGTTTTTTTTAAGACCCTAATTAGACCTTTCCCTCTGTATACATTATATTTGATGTGTTATATTGGTGTCCCAGAGCTCTGCAGGCAGTGGTTTCATACATTTCGCGCCAATGTTGCAGCGTAAACACAGACGCTTCAAAAAGCACTATAATCCCACTGTTATCATGCACAGAAGATATAACTTAGTTCATCTCTCCAGAGAAAGTGCATCCACTTGCCTGTCTCATGTCGTTGATCTCTGCAGGTCCATCCTCATCACACTGCCCCGAGCTACTGCCTCATCTTTATGAAGCAACACAACACGAACTACTGCAACACTGACATTTAACGACACCCTTATCGTTCATGTAAAGTAACCAATAAACCCTGCAGCAACCTGTTGACATGCCTGAAAACGTGGGGGGGGTGCTAAGTTAGCAAGCGACGACTTTGCGCCTAGATGTGGGTCGTTGAGTTTCCCTCCGACGTTTGTTGAACCCGAGCACAAAGTCCGCCGCTGACTGGTTGTTTAAAATCACCGACGCATCCTTGTAGACATTTAACATCCTCCAACTACTGCGGTGTTTGCATGGCGCTGCGACTTCGAGAAAAAACACAAAATGAGTATTTCAGGAGGCCACTAGCTAGCAGCCTAGCAACGAACTCCTGTGACGCAACGTTAGCCACGCCCACTCTGACGCCAGCCGTATTCCGAGCCGTGCTGCCTTTACGCACAGTTGGAAAAATGCCAACTGTCATTTTTACATTTGAACAATCCTGAAATTAGTTAGACTTGGCTGTGAAGGAAGTTAATTTCAATTAATTAATTGATTCATTTTTGATAAATTGTTTGTCCTGATCGTTCATTTAGTATTCTCCGGTTCAAATCACACTTTTAAATCTTGTCTAGTAGATTTTACTCAGCATTTAAAATCACCAAAAGCCACATTTTGTCTGAAAATAAATGTTTAAAAAACATATCAAACAACTCACCCAAAGGACTACTGGAGTTGCAGAGATGTTTCAGATATAATGATACAATATAATTTAATAAGTCTACATTATAGGTAAAAACAGGAAACATAACAAACAACCAATTTTCACATAGTACACAAGATTCACAATGTTTTTTCTCCTGTTTATGGAGCTTTATGTAAATATCAAAGGTGGAATTAACTGACTACTGTACTTAAGTATAGTTTTGGCGTACTTTCCTTTGGTATTTTGCATTTGATGCCAATTTGTACTCTTCTGCCGCTAAAGAGAAAAAATACTTTTACGCCACTACATTTATTTGACAGACATTTAAGTATCTAGATTCTTAAAAAAAAAAAAAAACAGGTTCATGTTCATGTTTTTTATGTCATGTGTTTATGTAGAAAAAAGAAATAAAAACTACAGCCAACATATCATATTGGATGTCTTACACTCAACAGGGTTCCCACTCTTTTTAACAAATCATTTTCCAGCACATTTTCTGTTTGTACAGTTGCTCACAACAGAAAATGTCCTGTCATATAATTTACCAGTAGGCCGAGTATTGACACATTTAACTCCAGTATTCACACAGCGTATCCTACCAACAGTTGAGTTTTAAACAAAATACGTACCCAGGTTTATGTAGGTATGTGAGGGGGTAAAAAAAACAAAACAATTAAAATTCTCCAGGATAACATAAAATATTTGCAGGATTTTGGTCATTTTAATCAATTTCCAGGTGTTTCCCTGACTGGAAAACTAGTCTCTAAATTCCCATGTTAACCAGTATTTTCAGGACATGTGGGTACCCTGCCAAATATTGATGTAAGTATTAGCCTCAAAAATCCAGTAAGCGTCTACCGGCTGTACCAGAATCAGAATCACTTTTATTGGCCAGGTATGTTCACGCATACAAGGAATCTGACTCCGGTTTTATGATGCTCTCAGTGTACATACACAGAATGAGTATAGATAAACAAGCTCAACAAAACAGACATAAACTACTATGTACAATTATATAAAAAACAATAACATTTATAGACAGTAGACATGAGTGCAGAGTGCAAAGGATGCTGGAATAAATATTTACGTGCAGGTCTCTTTATGCAAATCAGATCATATTACTATTTTTAAAGGATCTTGTTACTTTTTCCAAAACTTGAACATATGAACATACCACATCAATACCAAAAACAACAAAAATACAAGCGTTTTTTTTTTTTTAATATCTCTAAACGGGAACATAAATTGCATTTATACAACAAAACATTTATCGTCTCTCAATTACCACAATCTACAAGGCTTTGTTAAAAAATAATAATACGCATAATAGATAATTAATCAATAATAATAATAATAACTAATAGATAAAAGATAATAAAAAAAAGGATAGATACAGCACAGGCACAAACCAAAAACAAATAAATGCAAGATTACAAATCAAGGCATCCTCTCTAAAGAGACTCCTCTATCAGCCCACAAATTCCTTCATATTCATCTGCCAGTAAACCCAAAGCATCAAAGTACTTTGCAAAGTAAAAGTTTAGGTATCCTCATTGTATACCAAAACTTGATCCTTATTAAAGGGTGACAAAAATACAAACGCTGCCCTACTTGAATGGGACAACTCGTGTTTGCCAGCGTAAAAACTCATAAGTACGAGCTTACGAACTGCACGTGAAAGCAGCATCCCTGCCTCACGACACTTTCGGCAGCGGCATTGTTGCTCTCTGCGGTTGTTTTCTCGTCCGCAGCCAATGTTAAACACTTTCCATCCACGGGGAAGATGCTAGCGTTGGTTTTCGCCTGATGTTTAGTTTCTCTCGTCGTCACCGAGGTCGTCTTTCGTTTTTGTTTTAAATTCGGGCGCGTCGCTAGCACAACGCTAGCCAGCTTGATTTAGCACGAAAAAAAAAAAAAAATGAACTCAAACACGCACGTCATCCAGGTGACAAATGTCTCCCCGAGTACGACATCCGAGCAAATGAGGACTCTGTTTGGATTCCTCGGAAACATAGAGGAGCTCAAACTGTTTCCACCTGAGTGAGTATTGTGTGTTTTGCATGGGTCAAACGTAGTCTCACAGCGGGGCTCCTCCTGAGGCCTGTGAGGGGCCACTAGGCCTCACCGCACGGCGTGCTGACGCTAATGCTAACGATTCCCCGCGCCTTTAGTGAACGCAGCAGCGGTCGCTCCACGCAACGATAGGGCGTGAGGGACATACTGAGTGTGTTTGCTGTTGTGTGTCTCCATGTGAGTGGGTTTTAGTGTAGATTAAAAGTCCCCTTTTTCTTCCACAGACGCCGGGATGTGTAACGTTAACTGGCAACCGAAACCGAAACTAGCTACGCGACTTAATTGGTCGATGATTAATCAGCAGCAACTTCGATAATCTGTTAGTTGTTTTCAGTTGATTATCAGGCAGAAAGATCAGATTGAGTCCAGTGATCTGTCTATTGTTTTAGATTAACGCTTACCGTAATGTCATCACAAGCACCCAGAGACTGATTTATCTGAGGAAAAAACAGTAAAACAAACCGAAGATACTCAGTTTTTAATGGTAGAAAACACCAATAAAGCAATAAATCCTCACATTTTAATGACTGTAAATAGTGTAAGCCAGCATTTGTTTTGTAAGCCGCTCAAATTTACCCCAATGTGTCAATTAATTGACTAATTGTTACTTCTTTTAGCCTCTTCAGGTGTATTTGCCTTTATGATTTACCTCATTGTAAATATAATCATTTCTGCACTTCCTTCTTTTTTCCCCCCTACATTTTATACTATATAATGAATAAGTTAAACAGTTTCAGCACTAGATGTCACAGCTATTGTTAATGTAGTAAATACTGATGTACACAAAGTAGAACAACAAATGATCTTAACTGTAATATTGTTGTCAGGGACTTCCTGTTGGTAATCCCTGGGGTTCCCTGCATCCCATTTGAGAGACTGCAAAACACACCTCAGTATTTTATTGGCCGACTATAGTAGGAAATAATTGTTCTTTGCTTTGTATTCTCTTCTATTGAATTACACCTGGCTTCTCAGCAGGTAGGGCATCAAGGACTGTAACAACAACAACAACACCATAGCAACAATTTAGTTATAATGTCAGTGCTAACAATACCACACATTACACATTTTTCTAACCTACCTTGTTGGTCCAAGCAGAGGATGTGGAGATGAGTGGACGAGGTTGTATCTCCACTGTTAACTTAATTGCCCCTGGGGGCTCAAAACTCATTCAGATCAGTTTGAAGAAGGCATGTTGGGTCTCCTTGTTTCTATTCTTTGCACAACATATCTGTATTTTCTTCCAGTGACTCTCCCTTGCCTGTGACTTCACGTGTCTGTTTTGTAAAGTTCCTTGAGTCTGAGTCGGTGGGAGTTTCCCAACACCTGACGAACACCGTCTTCGTGGACAGAGCTTTGATCGTGGTCCCTTTCGCTGAAGGTGGGTGTCTGCTTCAGTCTTGTCTCTCTCACATGGCTATCTCTGAACATGCATCACAATGTGTAGGCTGTTTAATAGAATTACAGACGCTATCTGAGCCATTGTGAGCTTTTTTTTCTGACCAAGCAAAATTAGCTAAGCTTTCAGTGCTTGGCATTTCTAGGTATGTAAAAGGGAAATGTACATTTGTGTCCATGTCTTACAATCTAGCTGTAAACTTCTCTCTCTGTTATTTGTGTTGTGGTTTTCATAGTGGACAAGTCATTTGCAGAGAGCCCCTTCCTTGCTGGCTGAAAGTGGTCCTCTGCTGCCATCAGGAGATTAGAAAAAATAATGGCACCAGGCTCGCAAGCCCCCCTTCTCTCTCTTGTTCTGCAGTAAAATATTAACTCTTTATTTTTTTCTCTGTTCAAGGCATCTTTTCTTTAAAACAAATTAGCCACACAACTCTTAAGCAAGATGAGGGGGTGGGGGAGAGGGTGCAGGGCAATCTCAATTCCTCACATGTTGAAAGGATTTGAATATTTTCAAATAAAATGTATGTTGATTAGTAGGCATGCACCGAACTAGGGATGCCCCGAGCAGATCAGCTGGATTGGTTTTGAGGCCGATCTGTCAATTAATTGGTATTGATTTCAAGCTTGAACCAGTTCTGGTCCTCCTGTTTATATTTGAACCTTTTTTTGCGCTTCCGGGTCCGCCAGTTGTCAAAATGTCCTATTGTGCTTGAACCAGTAATCGTCAACAGTTAGTTTGAGTTGATTAATATCCACACTGACTGACGGCATGCATCAGCGAGAGAGTTTCAGTGACTTTGCAGGTGCTGTACAACCTTAAATTATCTTCTTTATGTCGCATACATTTAGTTGAGACACTCCTCTGTCCATTGATTTTATATTCAGTGCTGTAGGAAGCAGTTAGAGACCCTGCACATACACACTGGTGTTTTCAGTTACTGGCTAATCAGACCTGTTTAGGTTCAAGTTGGGCGGTGCTATGGTGGGAGTGTGCTTAGGACGCCCGACGCCAGGTGTAAGTAGCCCCGCCCTCACAGGTGCAACAAATCTTAGCGGTACAGTGAAGGAGATATCAATCTACCAATCAATCGATCAATCAGTCCTACAGGTCCACAGTCCCGAGTCTCATCAGCCAGATAAGTGAAAACACCTGCATGGGTGTTTAGGGTCCGGCTTTGTTTTCTTAACGTAGAGCTGTTCACCAATCACATCCAAACCGGATTGCCTTATTAAATGCTATCTTGCCCTGTGCTGATTTAAGTAAACGCTGCTGAACTGCATTATAAAGGAAAATATAAATACTGGATCTGGACTTGTTACTGGCAGAATCCTAATGTAAAATGGAGCAGATTGGGAAACAAAAAAATGTTCGGGACATCCCTACACCAAGCACAAAGCATGCAGGATAGATTAACTAATCAGCTGTGCATGCTAGAATAGATTTCTGAAGGTGTGTGTGCCATCGTCTACAGTAACTTTCAGCAGATGTGGTGGAAGTGTATTAGCACATAATTTGGTTATTAATCATAATAAGCACACAAACATGCATTTGGCATTTACTTGCTTCATGTGCCAAAGCCTTGTTATTTTACACTGTGCATCTGTTTTTCCCAAATTACCACTAACACACGAGATAAAAGTAGTTGTAAGCCTCTGCTTGATGTTGCAGTAAATGCTTTTTTTATTGACCCTCTCCACACATGACTCTGAAAGAGTTGAGTGACTCTCACGTTTAACAGTGGTGTTTCTTTTGTTGTTGTGTTTTACAGTTCTTTTTCCTGGTTCAGCCAGCCCTATATACCAGGCCCTGCTGAAAATGCCACCAACAGTTTTGTCTTCTGCAGCCTTATCCTGTTTCTCAAGTGTCCTTTCTGTTGTGTGTGTGTGCGCGCGTGTGTGTATGTCTCTCTCTCTCTCTCTCTCTCTCTCTCCCCCCTTTTCACCATATAAAATGTCAGAATAAAAAATAGCCTGTTTTCAGATTGCACAACCATGGATGATCATCTCCATAAGATTTTCCCTTTTGATTTTACTGTTTGGTTTTTCTTCAGCTTTGGGCAAAATTTTTATGATTTTATCACAGCTTTTGCTGGCAATAGCCTTTAACTGTTTAGTGCAGTTTATCTTTGACATTGTTTAGTGTTTTTAGTGACATATTGTTGGCTAAAACCTAGCACTGCTGTAGCTTGTTAGCAGTACTTCATCTGGTTGCCAAGTAAGTCTTTTTTTTTTTGTGGTGGGATTGTAACCACCGACAAAAGCCCAGAAAAGGTAAAATGACTGAACCTTTTCTGTTTTTTGTATTGGTAATGGTAAGTGATGTTGAAATGTACCCTTGTGTCTACACCCAAATCATGAACTTTGTTTTCTGTATCTCAATGTTTTTGTGTGCTTTATAGCGAAGCAGCCGGCGCGAGTCGCTTGTTCATAAAACATCTAATGAAAGTTGAGAGCACATCCCACGGGACAACTGGCTGTGCTTGCTTACGTTTGGTTCATGACTTAAAAAACAAGTACAGGTGATAAAATCTTGGCAGTGTTGACCACAGTGTGTATTGTGACTTTTAAACTCATAGCTGCTAATCCTACAATCATACTTTCACAAAAGTCAGGGATCAAGATTTACAGACAAGACAAAAAGTGGATTTTTTATTATTTTTTATTTTTTGACTACAGAGTAGTTAGACTGAGGTGGCTTGTCTGCAAGTCTTGTCTGAGTGTTTATCGATGTTTGCTTGGAGCGTGCACTGAAATGTTGTTGTTTCTCTCCAGGAGTCATTCCTGATGAATCTAAAGCTATGTCGCTGCTGGCTCCAGCCAATGCCGTGGCAGGAATGATGCCTGGGGGAGGCCTTCTTCCAACACCCAATCCTCTGGCGACAGTGAGTTTAGATATTGAGATTGTCTTTTTAATAAAGCTCACATTGTGTTCATGATCATTTGTTTTCTATTGCTAGATGAGTGATTGATCTTAAACATGACTATTTGTAAGTCAAATTGTAGTTTCTCATATTTTAAACTGTTTTCCATAACGGGCCATATGTTTTTAGATTCCTGTCAATCGGCCATATTTGTCAAAGAGTTTACAGGTTCTTGATAATTTGAGTTAAGATTTCATTTAAAAATGAAACTGGCTTTCAATCTATATTTATGACTTAAGGAAGATGAATGGGAACTTTAAAAAACTTGTAAAAATCTACAGGAATGTAGGGAGATTTAATCCTTTTTAATTAAATCTCCCTCATATTGAATACAGATTTACAGCTTACAGCACCATCATAACTTTCTGGCAAGTTTTTCATTTGTTTACACCAGTAACACTGCTGCAAATAGGCACAATATTTCAGTTAATCAGAACTCAATAAATACTAAATATGAAAAGCGCTGTTAAATTAGCTCTGCAGTGTATCGTAAGTGTCTGTCTGATATTTCAGATGGGAGGAACGCCATTCGGAGGTCTTGGAGCTCCTAACATGGAGCAAATGGCTGCCATGGGAATGGCGGGACCTAACATGAACCCCCAGGTGAGCACTCGATGGATCACATTCACGGCAGCAGCATGTTAAAACAAACTGTCTTCCTTATGTTAATTATCCTCCTCGCATGTGTTTCAGGCTCTTTCTGCAGACTTCCTGAAGCTCATGCAGTCCATGGACCCCAAGTAAGGAACTAAACGCATTTCTTCATGCAGGATATCCAGTGAGCCTGATTTTTGTGTGTGTGTGTGAAAAAAGTCTAAATAATTGATGGCATTTGCAGATTGAATCCATTAGCGGCCGGACTAAACTTGAATCCAGGGCTGAAGACTGACGCTTCCAATAAGGAGATTGAAGAGGCCATGAAAAGAGTCCGAGAGGCCCAGTCTCTCATTTCTGCCGCCATTGAACCAGGAAGTGAGTGCTCCATTTCCTCGTGTCTCCCTTGGAAGAGACTGTCGATGCTTCCTCGTTTGTTCAGCAGATACGAGAGAAAACGTCCCCGTTTGTAATCATAGAACATTTGTCCCAGTATGTGAGCAGTAAGGCCTACTACCTGCTCGATATTTAACTTGACATATAATTGTTTTTGCAGATAAGAAAGATGACAAGCGCAAACATTCCCGGTCCCGTTCGCGTTCACGGCGCAGGCGATCCAGATCTCGCTCCAGACACAGGTAAAGTTGACGGCATTAAAGAGCTGTGGTGTCTACGTACGAGGCACGAGCAGTGTATTTAACTTCTTGTAGTAATTTAAAAAAATGAGCAACTGCTTCATCTTTGGCAGGCGTTCGAAGAGCAGGTCTCGGCGGAGGTCCCATTCAAGGAGTAGGAGGAGGTCCAAGAGTCCACGGAGAAGGAGGTCCCACTCCCGGGAAAGAGGCCGCCGCAGTAGATCCAGGTCAGTATCTCCATCACAGGACCAAAGCAGATGCCTTTTTTCATTTTATTGCCAGACATATGTCGACCCCTGCTGCAGAATTTCAGCTGTAGTTGTGATCATGATTTTTAATGTAGAAATGTAAAGCAAAGCTGCCCCTGTTTTCTGCAATATGCTGCTGTTTGCTAACGTTGTTGACGCTGCTTCTGTCTTGATCAGGGAAAGGAGGAAGGAGGAAAAGTCTAAGAAAAGGTCAAAGACGCCCCCCAAGAGCTACAGCAGCGCCAGGAGGTCTCGAAGCATTAGCCGGTGAGTGAACAGGAGCACTTTCTTTCAGATTTAATGTGATGCTAAAACAGCAAATGATTCAAATGGCTTTTATTCATTTGTATGTTGTATTTTTTTACCCAGGAGGCACAGACGAAGCCGCAGTGCATCTCGGTCCCCCAGGAGGAAGTTGTCCAGGTCTCCATCGCCAAGACGGTGACTTATCAACATTTTACATGCAGTGAATTTGAGTACAACGTAAAATGGTGAACTTAAAATGATGAACATATGTCACGTTCACAGTCACAAGAAAGAGAAGAAGAAGGACAAGGAGCGTGAGAAGGAGCGGGATAGAGACAGGAGGGAGGACAGGAGCAGAGATGAAAGAGAACGCTCCACCAGTAAGAAGAAGAAGAGCAAAGACAAGGAGCGAGATCGGGACCGCAAGTCCGATAGCGAGAAAGGAGACGTTAAGGTACGTTTGGAGCTTCTGGAAATTGGCGTTTAATTGAACAACAGTAGGTCTACACGTGATTTTTGTGGAGAACGAAGAACTAATCGAACAACTTAAATTGTCTTGACAGGTGACCCGGGATTACGATGAGGAGGAGCAAGGTTATGACAGCGAGAAAGAGGGAGAGGAGGAGGACGACGAGAGGAAGAGCGACTCTGACTCGGCATCGTCCCCCAAAGGCCAGGAGGAGATAGAGAGATCCGAGGGCCAAATCCCCAAAAAGTCCAAGCTGAATGGAGACGATCACCATCAGGAAGACATGGAGATGAGCGACTAAGAACATCCCGAACCAGACCGTGTTATCTTTCCACTGTCCTCTTTTATATTTTTAATATAGGCCACAACGTGTCCGTGCCTGATCACTTAAAGTAAAAAAAAGATTTGTTGTCTTAACTGTAGAAGCATTTTGGGAAAATGGGGAGGGGGGTGTAGAAGGAAAGCAGTCAAATCATTTTTGTAAAGACGAGAAAACAAGGACTAAAATATGAATAACATGAGACTGGTTTTAAATTGTCATTGCTGTACTTTTTTAAGATCCCGTTGATTTTTTTCTGTTTGTTGCCTTTTGTGTTTATTCTTCCTGGCAGTAGAATACACAGCATTTTCCGCTAAAATGTTGTCAATGTAAATATTTTACTGGTCGGGATTAAGTCCTTTCCTCATTGAGACTGTTAGTTACTCACCAGGCACCAACGTCGGGTTACTTTCTTGGTTGCTGAACCATTTTTGCTTTAACTGTAATGCACCCAGTCATGTCTCAGCTGACCTTCCTATTTTACACCCCTTTGTAAGTGTACACTGTAGATTGAAACGTGTTGTTGCAATGAAATACTTTGTCTGCAATAGGTTTTCCAAAGGAAACTAATAAAATTGGGTCAAACTGTCCACTTGTGTCACTGAAAGAAGAGGTTTGTTTTGGAAAATATGGCTAATAGCTTAATGGAGTCTTTGCTGGTTGCCTGGCAACTGCTCAAGGCCAAAACACAACCGCCGGTAAAGGCGAATTATCGGTTATATACATTTTATATATATATATACATATATACTGTCAGTGGTTTATACTTGTATTTTTGTACGGGTTAAACGTTAGATAATGTTAATTCATGAGCTTTAGCGGCTTTGCGGAGTAGGTTTTCACCGTTGGATAAAGCTAAGCTAACTTTCCCCTTCTTTCCAAACGTTGCGCTAAGCTAACCGGTGGCTAACTGCCAGGAAGTGTTCCGTTAAAGTAACGGTTAGGTTCGTGAAAAAAAAAACATGGAGTCCAAACTAGACGGTTAGATATGTGGGAATTTTTATTTAGTACATTTTATATGAAAATAGTGTCGCAGACTTATACAACAGTTGTTGCTGTACAACGGACATGTTAGGTTAGATGAATGATGAACTTCCTACATTAAAAAAAATAGGAAAACTGAAGCAGCATGAAGTATAAAGCGCAGTGTCAGTGAAGAGGCACACTTCCAGTAACGTTAGCTGCACTTGGCCATATGGAGGAATGTAATGTATTTGGTTATACTGATACTGAATATGGATGCAAGTAAGCAAATTGTTCTAACAACACCTTGAGCCACCACATCTGTGTAGTACACCTTCATTTTAAACTCCAGCAGTAGGCACGTTTAGCAAACATGAGCACAACACCTGCCTGTATCAACATGATTAAAAGCTCATGAACCACAGCAGCAGCTATAAACACAGTAGGACATCTCCAGCCTCCAGTCAACACCTCCTGCACTTGTACATAATTCATTTCATCTGAGGAGACCTGGGGCTTTGTGCTTGTCACACTGTGGAAGTGATTGATTGTTCCACACAATCTGGAGGGGGGTTCGTAAAGGTTTTATCTTTAGTATTTAAAGTGGGAAGGGAAATAATGACAGGAGAATTAAGAGATTCATTTTTTTTCTTCATTAAAACATTACAAGTATGTACAAAAATAGCAACCGCCACCATGTTACAAACCAATAAACCCTCAATTTAACTCATGAGACGCTACATTTAAAAAATAAAAATAAAAATACACACAAATCACAACATTTCCTCTTGTGGAGGACATCTTAAACTCATCAGCACAAAGAACGAGAAAAGAACATAAAAGACAAACCTGTATTTACACACTGTGCAGGGGAATAGCCTGGTTCTTGTGTAAAAATGGCATGAATGTCGTAGTCATTCATTAATTCTCTAATATCTACTTTCTCTACAATCGCCAGTTTTCTTTGAGCTGGATTGTACAGTTTGTTACATAGTTTACAAACGTGTAGTAAGAAACAAAAGTCTTAAGACGCCATGACTTCCATTCACTTCCACTCAAAACGAACGAAGAGAAAACCTCGTAGTACCATAAAAATTGCAGCATTTCTAGCGTTGCCTCGATTAAACTATAATATATTTAAAATGCGGGGTTAAGGGTCGAGCATCACAAAATGAGTGTGAATGATCTCAGCTGAATGTAGAGTGGCTGTAGTGGATCTAAATAGTGCCCAAGAGTTCAGTGATGCTACTCCATGCCCGTGAAAATCACTGTTATACACACACACACACACACACACACACACACACACACAATTTTATAATGTGCAGAGTTAAAGTGGAATTCAGCAAAAATGGATTTTTACGGTTTTTAACCTACAAAAGAAGCCAAAAACTGAATGTAAACGGACATTTCATCAGTGTTTAGTACATCTTTGGGAAAATGTCAAAATTTGATGGTGTTAAAGAATTCAGTGTAAAATAAAAAGCAGGGATTTTATTCTCTTACACACCTCGCTGACAGGTGCATTCGATTATATACAATTTAATGTGTCTTTAAAAGTCTACTTAAGCAAGAATAAAACAACCTAAAAAGTCAGTTTTTGATGATATTCCTCCCCAACGTGTCACACAGACAATATCAGTGCTTTACTACAAGTCAGTTAAAAACATTCCCTTTATAAACATTACTTACATACTTAAATACATAGCATCCACTGAACGGTCTCAGACCCCGTATACAGAGAACTCACCGGCTCTGCTGTCACTCGTTTGAACTTCAATGCCCTTTTCACTGAGGAGAGGTTCAAACTCTCCTGTCTGGATTTAGATCGAGGGTGAGAGTGAGAACCTGCAACACTACGCTTCAAAAGATCACGAGGAGATGTCAACCTCTCTGCCACCGCGGGCCTCAAGCAGCTCTGGCGACGCCATTGTTTGTCCGGTCGTCTGGTCGTCGTCTGTGTTCAGGGTGGGTGATGGAATCCACAAACTATTCCCGCTGTTTTTTTTTTCTCAAGTATGTTTTGTAGCGTTATGTTGCACGTTTGTTTCCTGCTCCAGCTCGAGAGGTTAAAGGTCAGGGAAGCGGCTGGGGTCTTCTTTATAGTCGTTGGGAATGGTAAAAATGAACTGTTCGAACACGTCGTAACGAAACTCCTGAAACGTCACGGTGGCTGTGATCGTGGGAAAGACGGGGATGTCTGCAGGGAGAACATGAGCAGGATCACAAATTATATCTTTGATGACATGCTTTGAATTTCTTACACCTGTCTACTGTAGGTTTGTTTCCATATTGTGAATGAGTCGGAGAAAAAGTCAATAGTCAAAACACACAAAAACAAAGTCTATTCGCACGTCTTACACAACAGGCTTCTTTCAAATTGTTTGAATCTGCTTACCGAGTTTAACAGGAAAGCCAGGGGGGAGCTTCATCTGAACAAACTCCCTGAGTTTATTAAAGTGCTTGAATGGTGCAATCACCTCCAGAACATTCAACAACCTGAGGGAGAACAAAACCAACACATTTGCACAAATTAGTATGTTTTTATCAGCGCGTGCAAGAGGGGGAAAAAGAACAGGAGGGAACTTTTGGCTTCTTGTTTTATAATAAAGAGTCTGGATGGAAAGTTAAAGAGATGACTCACGATTCAATGCCCAGAGGGAAGTCTTGACTCATGGCTATCGTGGCTTTGAAGTTTTTCTTGCTCTCTTTGCAGACCAGCTCTCTGCCTAGATGAGGGGCTCTGAGTTGGAGGGAGAAAGAACAACCTGTCAGAGTGTGATCTCAGGTTGAAGACGGCTCACTGAGGAAGAGCATACAGCTCGTTATTATGCAGAAATCGTCCATGTGTATTTTTCTTTTCAACTCTTAAGATGGATTCATGAGTTTTTCCATGTTCTTTCTTCTAAACAGTTACTGAATATAGAGGAACCCACCGGGCCTTGAAAAGTACAGTTAAGACATTTTGTGACATTTAAGCTCTGTATTTTGTTATAGAAAGGACAATCAGACATCTGGTTCCTTGATTCATGACTGTAATATGACTTAAAGTAACATTAATGGTCCCACACAAGTCTAACAGTGATGCCTTTATTTATTTAGACACCTACTTTCCATTGTCTGCAGTGATGTACTCTTCCCAGGATATAGTGTTTGGTGAAGGCGGAGTTAGAGATTGCCTCCTCGCCGGCTGAAGGGCAAAGAGGGGAAGAAAAAAAAACAGGTTAAGGTTCCAGATTAAACAGACTCATGAAACTGAGAATAATTAAGCTTGTGTGTTCTTGAAACTGTTAATGTGTACGACCTGTGAGCTCAGCAGAGGTCAGCAGAAAACCTATACTATATGTTTACTTCTTTATTGTATCAATCCATTTTATGTGTATGTGTTGCTGCTGCAGAGCCCCAGTCTTACTCTGCGTTCATTATGTTTATTTTTGTCTTTCTTCAGTTACTCACACAGACCATTGAAATGCACAGCACAGGCCACTAGAGGGCCCCGGTGCATCACTACAGCCACAGTAACCTCTGGTTTGCTGAGTCTCACATATGGTATAACTGAATTACTATAATTTAGTGCACCACTAAACACCAGTAGAAACAAATGACTGAGACATTCACAGAAGGCACTTTACTATATTTTTGCATATATTGTCCTCACTTCCTGACCCCTTAACCCCTTAAAAAAACATTTCTTTAAATACAGAAGTAAACAGTAAGAAATAAAAGCAGTAAAAGACAACCTCAGAGTACAGTCTGTTACATTTACAGCTTAAGATGAATGTTTGCTTTACACATTGCGGATGAACAATTTCACTACTTATTTTTTGTTGTTGTTAACTTCTAGTGCAGTAGCATCTAGGGCAGGGGTGTCAAACTCTGG